AAGAAAGAGACAAAGCAAAAAAGTTCCAAACGTAAAAAAAAAAAAAAAAAAAAAGAACGAATGACAGTAGAAGCAAGTTCAACGCAATTTAAACTGCAAGAAGTATTTTCAGGAATTAATCAGATAGCTAACTGTCAGGTTCACTTCATTGGATAAAATGCATGTTTAACCACTTGAAGACTAAGGTGTTAAACCCCCTTCCCATCCAGGCCATTTTTCAGTATTCAGCGCTGCGGTACTTTCACTGACATTTATTCCGTCATGCAACGCTGTACTGAAATTAATTTTATACCCTTTTTTGGGGACACATAGAGCTTTATTTTGGTGGTATTTAATCACCACTGGGGGTTTTATTTTTTACTATATTAAGGAAAATTTACAGACATTTAAAAAAAAAAACTTTTTTCCTTATATTAAATTCTAAAACATTTATTATTACCCAATTTTTTGGTAAAATATAAAAGATGGGGTCAGGTCGTGTAAAAAGACACCAAACACGTCAAGCCTTAAAATTGCGCACGCGAGCGAAACCTCAAAAAACTACATTACCTAAAATTGGCCATAGGCGACGCTTTAAAAGCTTTTACCGCTCATCAGTTTAGTGTTATCAGTGATTGATGGCCCTAAAATGATTGCTCTCACTCCGACGTTCGCGGCGATATGTAACATGTGTAGCGCAATTTCCGTTTTCGACTAAATCGCGCCATACAACCGTTCGGCGGCTATAGAGCCGCTGATCAGTTGTATGTGAAACAGCCGTTAACAGCTGTAAAAATTAGCGGGTCTTTCCTGCCTGTGCGCGCGCAAGCAGGAAATAAATGCCGTCTGGAGACGGCAACCCGCTGATGCGAGTCTGCCGTCCGTCCGTTTTTTCTTAACAGACGGACGGCAGGAGGTTAAAAGTATTAAAGGCTAGGCGTTTTATTAACGTAATGCATTCCCTGCATTAGGGTAAGAAATGCCGAGTGTGAACACCTGTCACCGCCGCCGGTCCCCAAAGCTGTTTTCAGATCCCCGAACTTCCTGGTTGCGGGGGAGGATACTGAGTACAGAGGAGCCATAGTGCAAAGGAATCATAGGCTCCTTCTGCCATCAGTCAAAGTATGACTGTGGGAGCAGGGGGCGTGGCTGGCCGCAAGCTGTGTGTGTCCATAGACGCACACACAGTTACTTGCGGGCACAGCCGGGAACGAGCACGCACGGGTGCATCCATAGCAGCCTGCTAGCTGATGGAGGCACCCGTGCAGGGAACGGGAGGGAGAGCGATGGGGGGACCCACTAGAGAATGAGGAATTGAACATTTTTAAACAAAAAGAATGGAGGATTTGTGGAGGTGAGGGCCTCCCATTTATAAAAAAATGTTTTAAAACCCTGACGGTTTAACATCACTTTAAATATAAAGACAACCTGAAAGTAAGCTGAACTTCAGGATAAGCAATAGTTGTTCCCATAAAAGAGGCCTGTGTGTTCATACTTGAATCTTGATAGATTTTGTGTATTTCTTCAAGATCTGTAGAGTTATCCAGTACAACATGTTGTCTCTGTGCAGGATTTTCCTGTAAGAAAAACTGGCCACCGCTGCTCTCATTCTTTGCGACTGGTCTTGTATGAACCATGCACAGATCTAACGTGGGACAGACAATATACTTTGTCATAGGTGACAAATCAGCCCCACTGTTCAAACAGACTAAGCTGTACATCTGTACATACTATCCAACTTTCCTCTCTGAATCAGACTGCAATAAAATAACTATTGTGCTTCTTTATGAGCATTGCATGACAAAAGAAGTCTACACAACTCTGTTTGAAAAAGTATGGATCTGGGTACATTATGTGTGCCATTCAGGTTCTCCCTTTAGTTCTCCTATACTGAAAAAAGGGGACTGAAAGAATGATTCTAAGCAATCAAAAAAATTAACCCTTGCAGTGGTTAAGTGCTTGTTTGGGTCTGGGGGTTAAAGGAGATATTCTCACCTTACTCTCGGTCCCTCTTAGCTGCTAGACCAGTCACCGCAGCCTCTTCTCCCCCAGGCTCCGATGGTCTAAGGACCCGTGACTTCATCACATGTAAGGCAGCTGCATTAGACATGAGAACACCGAGGGAATTTCCACTGGAGGGGGAGAAAGTTGAGCACTCATCAGGAGTCATCAGGAGTGACCTACGATGAGGTGAGTATATCTTCTTTATTTTAGCTCCTTGACCAAAATGAGCAAGAGTTAATTTTTCGATTGCCTGGAGTTCTTTTTAAAGCAAAAATCTGATTGGTTGCTGCAAAGAACTGTTTTATTAAAATAAGTTATTAGAAAAAAGGTCTAAGTACAAACATCCATATACTAGAAACACACATACTGTACATTTATCTTGACACATTGTACAACTGTGACACAGGGGAAGACATTTGCTGGTCGAGATCCATGGCGTTGGCAGCAATATTCAGTGTACGTTTAGTGTTTATTTCATATTCACCTTCAGGGACAGAATTTCTTCATCTTGAATGGCAGTCACCGGCTCTCTCTTTAGCAGAGGGTTCTCCTCACAGTACAGTTCTTGCAGTGGAAACTCATTCATCTGTGTAAACCGTACAGATATTTATTAATCAGTTTGAGTAAAGGTTGCCAAAAAGGTTAGCCTGCTTGCCACCCTACTTCTCAAAACAGAATTCTGATGTAGTTAATACCCGGAACGTAAACCTTCAATGGAGCACTGGGTCAAACTGAGAGGAATTAAAGGCTAAGTTCACTATTTGCACAAATTAAATGCATATTTAATAATATTACAAAAATATGCTTTTCTTTAATTTTTGCATTCAAGCCTGGAAAGCATTGCAACTGTGTTCACTCAATCAGGGCTGCAGAGCTCAGGCTTCTGCACATTCTCTCCCAGGCAGAGCTCTATACTGAGGTACGGAGTTTCAGTTAAGAGAGATGGGGAAGGACAGCTGGACTTCAAACTACATTAAATCACCTCAAACAGGGTCCATCCGTCCTCTCTCTGGTTAGATACAGTAGAGCTGTCCTTATTCCTGTCCAGCTGTCCTTCCCCATCTCTCCTAACTGAAACACCGTACCTCAGTACGGAGCTCTGCCTGTATGAGAATGTGCTGAAGCCTGAGCTCTGCAGCCCTGATCGAGCTATCACTGTTGCAATGCTTTCCAGGCTTGAATGCAAAAATGAAAAAAAATGCATATATTTCTTATATTATTAAATAGGGCTGCACCGATATATCGGCCGCCGAAACATATTGGCCGAAAATGGCACTTTTGGCATAATGCCGAAAGTGCCATTTTCCTGCTGATACATCGGCGCATCCCCGATTTATTTCCTCCCCGCTGGGCGCTGCTCTGTGTCCCAGCGGGGAGAAGAGAAAGTGACAGCCAGCGGAGCGCTGCGATGGAGAGCGCTGTGAGTGGCCGGCGTCTCCTCCCACACCGCTCTGCCGCCTTGAAATTTTTTTAATTTCAGATTTGTTTCGGTTTTAAAATGTCCATTTCGGTGCACCTCTATTATTAAATATGCATTTCTTTAATTTTGGCAAAAGGTGGACTTAGTCTTTAAACTACAAGGTATCTATGTCTATTGAAGGCCATATCTGCTTAAATCAAGAACAAACGTATATAGAACTTGGTACTAAATATTGTAGTAGCAATTACAACTTGCAAGATTTATGCTAGAAAAAGGAACAGAAAATGACCTAACGTATTAAGCTGCAAAATGACATGAAAAACGTGCAGTTTTTATCAACTGGAGAACAACTTGGACCTTGTTCATTTTAAATTTTGTATACCACTGAGGCTGCTTATAGTCCAAAAAAACACATGCACTTTCACATGCCCAGCCTACATGGTCAACTATGGCAGAACACAGGTCATGATCATCTTACTGTCTACTATACTTATATAGGTGGGAAAAGACAAATTTCTGTATCAGGAGACAAGTGTGAGTTAATATATTCATACAGTGTCAACGATTGATGTCAGCCCTGCCTCAGGAGTTCTCAGGAATTAAACCTTAAAAATGCATTTGTGTACCTTAGCTATTAACAAAAATGTATCTTATTAGTGTATCACTTGGCTGTAGATCCTCAAATCATCTCTGAATTGGTGCTGACACTGTCCTTCCTTCTGGAGGGTGGCTACTTTTGTTCCCCATGGTCCCTGTGTGTGTTGTAAAGTAGCCACCCCTCCAAGCTCGCTCCTCTGATGGACTACAATCTTATGTTTAGTTTACTAATTTGTATTGAGATTGTAGTCCATCACAGGAGTGAGCTTGGAGCAGTGGCTACTTTACAACACACACAGGGACCATGGGGAACAAAAGTAGACACCCTCCAGAAGGAAGGACAGTGTCAGCACCAATTCAGAGATGATTTGAGGAGCTACAGCCGAGTGTTACACAAATAAGATACATGTTTGTTAATAGTTAAGGTATTTGAAGGCATTTTTAAGTTTTAACTCCTGATTTTAGTGTCACTTTAATGTAGACAGAATCCTTGGTGGTAGCTGAACCAAGGACCCCACCACCACAAGATCGCAGTGTTGGCCACTAAGCCACTATACTAATAAGGCCGGATTTTGGTGTGGTTTAGACAAATAATGGGGGGAGAGGGGGCTAAATGCCACATTTTAATTTCAGGACTTCATGTACTATGTGCCATGGATATAGTGAACACTGGTCCAACCAACCATAATGGCAGCCTCCGTTGTGTACGCTGCAGGCTTTACATGAACCACAATAGTTTACTTACACGGGATGGAAATGACTGAATCTGGTTTGCTGCAACATCCAGGATCCTTAGCTTTCTCAGCCTACAAATACCCTATTAGAAATAAGAAAGATATGTAACCAATATATAAAAGAATAATACACAATTTTATTTGACAATACAATTAAAGGTAAACTCAACCCAAATAGTACCATTTCAGTTTTGGGTGTGTGAATGCTGGGTGTATAAAAAACAAGTATCTCCTAGTGGCTACATCCTGCAGCACCCACAGTATTATCGATTTAAAAGTCCTGGGCAAACCCTTCGGTGCTTTTGAATTGTGGGTGCAAACTGGAGAAATGAGAGAAAATTAGCACAGTGAGAACTTACAAACTCCATGCAGATAATGTCTCTGATTGAACCTGAACCTAAGTGTCAGCACTGCAAGGCAAGGGAATTGCACACTGCAGTTTGTCCTAATGTAATTAAAAAGGTTGTTAGTCCAACATATAATATAGTATCCCACCTTTTCCTTTCTGAGAGGAGGATTGCTGGCTCATCACATGTTAGAACTACCATTGATATTTGTGTATAAGCTTAGCTTTACCCACCTCAGGCAGGCCAATCAGATTGTTGCGATAGACATGCAGCTCCTTCAGATTGGTTAAATAACCTATTTGCTCCGGCAATGTCTCCAGTTGGTTGTTTCCTAAGTGCAGTTCTTGTAGGTTTTGCAGGACACACAACTCTTTAGGAATATCTTTTAGAAGGTTATGGTTAATACTGAGTTTTTCAAGTCGCTGCAACCTTAAAGAATGAGATTTAGCAGAATATGATTTCATAAATCAGCTCTACGGATAGCGACGGCCTGCTTTAAGCATTGACCAAGTCCGATTAATATAGCTCACAAACATTTGTGGACTTACTTGTGAATTTCCGGAGGGAGGTGCTCCAGCTGGTTGTTGTTCAGATTAACAAAGAGAAGATTTTCTAACCCATCTTGGGGGGGAAAAAAGACTCATTATAATCATATTGATACTTTTTCAAAGCTGGTCATATGCATGTCATCATTTTATTATCTTTTGGCCTTAAAGTGACATTAAACCCTCTTTTTAACATAAACCAATACTGTAATGTGTGCCTTACTGTAATCCATGGTTGTTTCCCTTCTCTTTGCTGCTCTTCCTTTTAAATCTGTATCTGTTCTCATGCTGGCAGAACTTCTGTTTTGCAGCAGACTGCCTTGTCTCTGAAATGGATGCATAGTGTCTGTGTGAAGGTTCACAACCTGAGCCAGCACTACAGGAAGAGGCACTCAGCTGCAAAGGGAAGTTCTCCCCAAGCATGAGAAGATATGAGGATTTAAAAGGAAGAGCAACAAAGAGAAGGGAAACTACCATGGATTACAGTAAGGCACACATTACAGTATTGGTTTATGTTAAAAAATCTGAGGGTTTAATGTCACTTTAAATGCACGCACAGTAATGCGCTGGTATATACAAATTAAGAGAAAGGAAACATGAAAGTTCTGCCTATGGAAACCATCATTTGACCTGTTAGATCTGCTTTCATTTGTCATGTCATTTACAGTCTGTGGTTAGAATAGTGTCAATGAGCCAGCCAAATTCCCGGCCAATATTTGCTTACAATCAGTGAGCTGTTATGCACCACCAATCACAAAGAACCGTGTTTATAACTGTAGAGAGTATGACGTTAGCGAGCTGTACTCTATTGTTCTAGACAAGAGCCCTCTGTGCTGCTTTATTAAGTAATAGAGAGCCGAGAAAACAAATGAGAAAACAATGAAAAAGTTATTATTCTCTATGTTTTCTTTAAAAATATGGGTATGTATGAATTACTATATAAGAATGTAGAATCATGACGGAATAAATGTCAAAGTACCGCAACGATGAATACTGAAAAATGGCCTGGCCAGGAAAGGGGTGTAAACACCAGGTCTTCAAGTGGTTAATGAAGCTGTGTTGTCCGCATCTTTTGTTAAAAGGAAACAACACGCTAAACTACTTGTGTAAATTAGGAAAAGCACCATACTTTATATATTTTAAGGCCATGGTTCTCAACTGGTGGGTCGCAACCCAAAAGTGGATCACAACCCCATGTCCAGTGGGTTGCTGTATGCCTTCCACTTCACTAGTTGAGAAGCTCCTCAGTCACCCCTTAGCACAGCACTGTCAGTTCTCATACCATCCTCCATTCAAAATATACTGTCCAGTGCTGAGTGTCAGCATGAGGTGGGGTGGGCTGGGGTATGGCCACGAGGGAGCTCCATCCATATGTGGATTGCTTACAGCTCTCTTGCATGCCCTGTAGAGGTGCCTGGACCGGAGTTATGTCACATTCTGGCTCCCGGCACCTCTAAAGCAGTGCTCCCCAACCTTTTTATCGCCGCGGACCGGTCAACGTTTGATAATTTTACCGTGGCCCGCTGAGGGGGGGACGTTGATTGTTTATATTTTAGATTGTTTTGATTTAATAATTTTAATTTAATTGTATTTAAAAATGCCTTCAAAATAAAATACAGTTACACCAAAAAATGAAAGCGTTGGAATTCTTCACCTATTACCCCCCCCCCCTTCCCCAGCTCAGACTCACCCTTCCAGGAGCAGCAGCCATGTGTCGATGTGTGAAATAAGAAAAAACAAAAACAAAAAGGTACAGAAGCGCCACTACCAGAAAGTGACTTGGCAGAATCAAATGAGGGTATCAGACTTACCAGGGAGTAGGTACTGGCACGTTATCAACGGCGAAATGTGGATGGTTGCTCAGGGTGATCAGCACTTAAAGTAGTGTGTGGGCAGATGGGGGTGTGGAAGGGTTGGGGATGAGAGGGGTTCTATAGGAGAGCCTGGATCAGATGTTGAGTGTGGCAGGGATCGGAGAGGGGGGGCGGGGCGTGATGCAGAGAGTGGCAGGCACGGTGGGGACCTGGTTGGTGGATGTTTTAGCGATCTGTGAGAGGTGTGGACCGGGTCATTGTTAATGTAAGGCTGCTTATCTGGGAGCTGCAGGCCACTGGGAGAGGACAGTGAATGTGTGCCTGAACAATACGTGTGGGAGGGGCGGGGCCTGTGACCCCGCTGACGAGCAGCTAATGCTGGCAGGTGGAGGGTGTCCGGGGGGAAGCCGGTGGTAGGGTTGAGTGCCAGGAGGTGGATGCTGAAGTCGGGGTGAGTCAATGTGAGAATGTGTCGATGTGTGCACTCACTGCAGGGGGCGGGGCGGGGCGCGTGACACACACACACGTCTCCTGTGACTCACCTCCCCTCCCGCCGCCTGTTACTATAGACGCGGCCAGGAGGGGAGGTGAGACACAGGCGCCGCCCCCGGGACCGTGCACTGCCATATATTGCATGACCGGACCACACTTAGACTGTGCGGCCCAGTACCATTTGACCGGTACCGGTCCGCGGACCGGGGGTTGGGGAACACTGCTCTAAAGGACCGGAAAAGGAGCTGTACCAGCAATGTACATATGAATAGAGCTCCATCACAGCACAGCAGGCCACACTGGATCCTAGGCTGAGCATCCACTCCAGTTCTAGTACGGTAGGGAGACTGGGTGGATCTTAAAAAGAAGAAAAAACATATTCTTCTGGACTGTGTATGTGTGTGTGAGAATGTCTGTGAGGTTGTGTATGTGGTTGTGTGTGTCTGTCAGTTTTTTTGAGGGCCCGCTCACACTAGTACAGTGCGTTAATCACACAGTCCGTGCAATTTACACACTTTACCACACAAACGCACCTACCGCGCATTCTGGTGCGGGTGGTGTATTGCGTTGCCCTTCATTTGAATGGCACCCCAAAAGCACCTACCGCCCCCAGTTCAATCTCCGCACCGAAACGCACAGTACTGCAATGCTGTACGTCGCAACTTGGGTCACGACTGAATGACCGAGGACAAATGTGGGTCCTGAGGTTACACAGGTTGAGAACCACTGCTTTATGGTATACTATGTAGGCTGTATTTGTGCTTCTAACCAATGGCTCTGAATCCACATTAGACCACAATGATATAAAGTAGTGATCTGCAGGTCTACACACACTGTTGTAAAATTAGGGATGAGCCCATTGCTGTTTGGATGTTTGGGGAAATAATATGTTGCTCCTATTCCTGCACTATATTGTATTTCACAGCATTTCTAGCGGTGGACTGCCTTCCACTAAAGGTTTAAAAAAAACTGTGACACCCTTAGGGGTGTTTTGAACAGTATGTGTCTGTCACTCGCTGTTGTGGCTCCTTTCACCAACCCTCACATATTAACCCTTGCAGTGCAGTGGTAGCCCCACTGCAAGGGTTAACTTTCCAAAATCCCAGAGTTCTTAATTGAGTTACATTTTATATATAACATCGCTACCAGCGAGCGATCATTATGCGCTTACCAAACACATCAGGGGGTATTCCGGTGATCTTATTTCTAAACAGATGCAGAGTCTGTAAGGAATGAAGATACTTCAGCTCTGGCGGCACTTGTTCAAAGATGTTATTCCCCAAGTTCAACACAGTCAGCTGAAAGAAATGATTCTGTTACCATGAGCAACACAGATCACTGCATACAAATCAAAGATGACATAATTGGATGAGCATAAACCATTATGGAATATATATAGATAAAAGGTCCTAGAAAATACCACCCCCACCACATTAGACCAAAATCAGGGGATCCGTTGAGTTGCAGCTTCAACCTCCATTGACTCCCATTCCATTTTTCTCTCTTTTTTGCCCATTTTTATTTTAATTAACACGTTCTGAGTGGACAAACATCTCTGTATTAGACTATGTATTCCATTATTATTATTATTCAGGATATCAGGGAAGACATTACAATCACAATACAATTCAAGACAAGATGGTAAGGAGGGCCCTGCCCCTGAGGGCTTACAATCTAAAAGGGAGGGGGAAGTCATACATGAGGAGGGAGCTGTGTGGGGATGAATTGTTTGAGAAAGTGACAGTACAGTGGTTAGGTTGAGGTGGGATAGGCTTCCCTGAAGAGATGAGTCTTAAGAGATCGCCTAAAGGCAGTCAGAGAGGGATATAGTCGGACAGTTTGGGGTAAAGAGTTCCAGAGGATGTGAGAGGCTCTAGTGAAGTCCTGGAGGCGAGCATGAGAGGAGTTGACGAGGGAGCTGGAAAGCAGAAGGTCTTTGGAAGAGCGGAGGGGATGGTTAGAGTGATACTTTGAGACAAGGTTGGAGATATAGCCGGGGCCAGAGTTGTGGATGGCTTTGTAAGTGGTTGTTAATATTTTGAATTTGATCCTTTGGGTGAGTGGAAGCAAGTGGAGTGATTGACAGAGAGGGGCGGGGGATGGAAGCCAGTGCAGGGATTGGCAGAGGGGGGTTGCAGACACTGAGCGGCTGGTTAGGTGGATGAGTCTAGCAGCAGAATTCATGATAGACTGAAGGGGGGATAGCCTGTGTGGAGGTCGGCCAATGAGGAGGGAGTTGCAGTAGTCAAGACGAGAGATAGTTGAGTCATTTTGCGGTTTCATTGGTGAGGAAGGGGCGTATTTTGGAGATGTTACGAAGGTGAAGGCGGCAGGAATTGGATAGTGATTGGATGTGGGGAAGAAAGGTGAGATCCGAGTCCATTACCAAAAGTTGCAAAGCCGTTACATCCGTTGTTGTTCCATTACATGACATGACGTTGCTCTGAAAGCCACGCTCTACTTTTTTTCCCACTGCAACAGAGCAGATCGCAGCAGTGTGAACTGGCCCCATTCACACCCATTCATTTTTCAGTGCCCTGACATTTGCATCTGTTGAAAAACACAACAGATCTGGTGTGAATGGGGCCTCAGGGCAAACTTCTCAGGGTCTACTTACATTCATAAGTGAGAGTCCATTCACAGCCCAAACGTAGCTCATGTTGTTTTTCCAGAGACAGGTGTTTGGTTATCGGCGACAGCATGCTCAGATGTGAACAGAACCCTTTGAAAACAAACCAAATCCTTTGAGAGTTGTAGTGTCTGCGTCCTGTTTATGGAGCTTCCCCGTCCCTATTTGTCCGGGAGACCGTGATCACTGAAAGTGAACAAAACTCCCAAAGTTCGGGTTGTCACCTTAAAGGAGAACTATGGGGTTAAGTCTTTTCCCCATAGTTCTCCTTAGGGTAACGGGAGGACACAAACTAGCGTCCTCCCGTCACCCTAGGCTCAGTATATAGGGAGCTGCAGCTTGCGGTATACTGAGACGCCGCAGCTGAAGCGGATCCCGACAATTGTGCCAGGATCCGCCCAGCTGCGTGACTGACAGATGGCTCTGCCTATCTAAAGGCAGAGCCAGCTGTACCCGCCCCCTCCCCCGTCCGATCCGCCAGTCAGCGCTGGCGGATCGGAGGGAGGAATCCAGCCCCTCCCCTGTCACGGCAGAGAGCCGTGACAGGATCGAGAGGTGAGCGAACGCCGGTATGTGTTCGCTCACCTCCCGATCTACTGAGCCGACCTGTGACAGTCTCATTGTCACAGGTCGGCTAGAACTATGAGGTGAGTGAAAAGCACCCGCCTCATAGTTCTCCTTTAACAGGAATAGCTGAGAAATCTTCCAGTGGGGACACTGGTTTTGGTGACCCTGCTGACCACCAGGGATTTCTCTCATTTTGGAGGGATTTCCAGGAAGTAAAGGGAAATCTTCCCAATGAGACACAGAGGGCATAAAAAAAGCTGACAGGAGTTATTACCCTTCCTTTATCTATCTATCTATTTTTGGCTTCAATTCTACTTTAAATCCACCTCCAAATAACAAGTCACTTTTAACAGCAAACATGAATCCAGGACAGGACTTCAGGCTTACAGACAGCATGTTTCCTAAAGCCTCTGAACAGGCGGACTCTCTTGACTTCGGGTCCCCCACTAACAGAAGGACAGCAACACATGTGCGCATCGGTTAGCATGGTCCTCCAATAAGTTAAAGTGACATTAAACCCTCAGATTTTTTAACATAAAACAATACTGTAATGTGCGCCTTACTGTAATCCATGGTAGTTTCCCTTCTCTTTGCTGCTCTTCCTTTTAAATCCTCATGTCTTCTCATGCTGGGCAGAACTTCCCTTTTCAGCTCAGGGCCTCTTCCTGTAGTGCTGGCTCAGGTTACAAGCCTATACAAATGTATACACAGACACCGTGTATCTATTCCTGAGACAAGGCAGTCTGCTGCAAAACAGAAGTTCTGCCCAGCATGAGAAGAGATACAGATTTAAAAGGAAGAGCAGCAAAGAGAAGGGAAACTACCATGGATTATAGTAAGGCACACATTACAGTATTGTTTTATGTTAAAAAATCTGAGGGTTTAATGTCACTTTAACTGTTCCTAATCTGTCCCTGCCCAATCAATTCCCAGCAGCAAAGGGCCTGTTTGTGATGAAGATGGTGCTATTTACCCCCTCTGAATCCAAGATGGCCCCTGAAAACTACTTCATTAAAAAAAGTCTAACTTTTTTCTTTTCAGATTTTTCATTTTTGCTTTTGGCAACTGCGTGGAAGGAAGAGGAAGGATTCCTATTATGGAAAGTGGGTGGAAAGTGTGAGGGCCCACTTTAAGCTTCAGTACATTCAGGTTTTGTTTTTGGGTTTAGAAATGATTGTTAAATGTTGGTAACAATTCTGCAAGATAAACATTCCAGAAATAAAGCCGATTCCTATGAATGGGGAATGAAGATTGCATGGAAGTTATGCCTGACACTCACATTGCTCAGTGCTGCCACCTCTGGCGGAAGCTGGCACAGCAGGTTGTTCTTCATTTGCAGGTTCGTCAGCTGGCTGAGGCTGCCCAGGGCCCGGGGCGCTTGCTGCAGTCTCTTGCTGTTCAGGTTCAGAGTCCTGGCATTGCCCCGGATCGCTCTGAGCACCAGAACGTCGGCCATGGAAATCGGTAAGCCTGTACTCCCTCACTGCATGTTTACCCTACCGGGAAGGAGCGAGACGCCGATTGGTTTCCATATCAACGACGCCGTACGTACAATCAGACCCGAACTGCCATCTTTAGTGTGGGCAGTAATAAAACGCATGTGAAATGTCAGTCTCAGCCATCTGAAACTCTCACACAGTTCCCAGACTCGTGTGGTTATTTATAGTATTGGAGTGTTTTTTTTATTATTATTTTCAATTCAGTTCCATGTTACAACCTTTTGTTTTAAACTTCAATAAAAATATATAAGTTTAGATGTAAAATAAAAAGAATTTCGTTTGCTGTGTCCATAAAAAAATATGTTCAAATGTGTGCTTTATTTGATAGTTTTACTAAATGTTCTAACACTATTATATTGTAAGATCTGATCCTTGCGTTATCAATAAATTAGGTCCATTGTATACATATGTGTCGCTGGAACATGCGTGTTAACAATGATGTATGCATTGACATGTTGTGGTGCAATTCATTGTCAATAGCACCCCAATGCACTAACACATGCATTGCAGCACATATCAACTAATTGGATATTGAATATTTTGCAACACACCAATTTTTGTGTACTGGAAAGAAGTCCCAGTGCAGGTGTGGCCAAATCCAGCCCTCCACCTATTTTAGAACTACAAATCCCACGAGGCATTGCAAGATTCTCACAGGCATGACTCCCAGAGACAGATGCATCATGGGATTTGTAGTGTCACCACAGTTGGAGGGTCAAAGTTTGCCCACCCCTGTCCCAGAGGATCTCCACTGGCTCCTTGGTTTGTACAATCAATTTGCAAAATGGTGAATTGAAGAGCCACACTTTATTTAATAGTCTAGATACATCTTTATTGAATGCAGGGTTGATGGGACACTATGAAAATAGGCAACGCATTTCGGGGGGCTCATACAAATACCCCCTTCAACAGGGCTTACTAAGGGAGAACATGTATCAGGACCGTGATGGCTTGAACTTGGATTTTGTTTTATTTAATGTGTGGAAGTGCACATAGCTCATAAGCAGCTGGTTTGGGCCTCTAAGTACTCCCAGCCGCAGTTGCACGCTTCCCTCCTCACATATAACGTGGGACGAATTGACCTGCATAGTATGTGATGACGCCAAGAGAGCACCCGCCTCCCAGAGCATCAGAGAGAAGAGGATAGTATTGCTGTGCTGTGTAGATATCTACGACCTTTGTTTTTAACATTAGCGGTTATACATTTTTTTGCATGTTGGCTGGTGCGTGTGCTGGGAAACTTTTTACTGTTGTACTGTATAAAACCCTTCCATGTGCACCTTGCTCTAAAGCTGGTAATGAGTTGAGTGCGTTTATGCCATTTGTTTTGCTTGACTGATTTGGTGCAGTGACACACTGGGGGTTTCAGCTACCGTTGTGGTGTGTGTGGGGTCCCTTGTGTGTCCCTGTGCCTTCAAGGGGGTTGGGCTTCCTCCTGGCGGACCTGCACCCAATTTTATCTTTTGCTACATGTGCTCCAAGATGGAGACTCTCATAGTTTAGAGTTAGGACCGCACTACATAGAGGAGCCTTGACGTGGCGGTGCGGCTTTCACATATTCTGCAGAAGACGTGTATCCAAACCTCTGTTTGTAACCTTAGCGGTGAGACAAGTTTTTTTCCCATGCTGGCTGGTGAGTGTGCTGGGAAACTTTTTGCTTTTGTGTATATATGGAGAGACACACAGCTCACTGGCACACACAAGGGTGGCTTCTTTGGACCCAGCAAGGGAAAGGAGCCACCCTTATACAGGATATCAGGGCCAGTGCTCAGAAGACCAGATGATTCTGAGGAAACAAACTTTTAAACATCCAGAAGCAGCATCCATTGTAAGTGATTTCATCATTTTAACTAAAAGTTGAATTATGCTTCAATATAAAAGTCTGGGGCTAACTTACTAAAGGCAAATAGGCTGTTCACTTTGCAGTAGGATTTTTCCTTAGCTTAGCGAATGTGGTGAAAATTCACTTTGCAATGAGTACCCAATCACATCCAAGGAAAACAAAACAGTATTTGACTTACACATGATTGGATGATGGAAGTCAGCCGAGCTTCACCACATTCACTAAACTAAGGGAAAGTTCCCGTGCAAAGTGAACGGCTATTTTCCTTTAATAAATCAACCTCTTTGCATGCTAACACTCTAGCTCAGCGTTTCTCAACCTTCTTTCGGTCACGACACCCTTTAAAAGTATGCCAAATCTCGAGGCACCCCTGTCTACAATAAGATAGATTTTAAGGGGAACCCCATGCAAGAACACAAAAAAAGTGGGTGAAGTGCCCCCTTCAAATCAGTAGAAAGTCACTCGAACTCCAAAGCGATGCCAAGTCCATCTCTTTATTGACTATGGTAGTGTAACATCTCAAAGCGACGTTTCAGAACCCAGTGGTCCCTTCTTCTGTTTGCCTGAAGAAGGGTTCCAAAACGTCGCTTTGAGATGTTACACTACCATAGTCAATAAAGAGATGGACTTGGTATCGCTTGAGTGCGAGTGACTTTCTACTGATATTTATATGATCTGCGGAGGCATCTGCTGTCACTGCCTCACCCACCCTGCGTTTGGGCTCTTCCAGTCAGGAGTGCGATGGGATACACTGGGTCCCTTCAAATCAAGATTCCCCCTTTCACATCAGAGTCACCCTTTGCATCAGTAGCCCCTTCCACATCAGAAGCCCCCCTCACCTCAGTCTTCATTCTTCTCTTCACATCACGGTCCCACTACCACACAATTCAGAGGCACCCGTGAAGAGGCCAGGAGGCCCAGCAGACGGCCACGACACCCTGGTTAAGAAAGGCGGCTCTAGCTCATTATAGTAATTGTAAACCCTAATGGACATTTATTTTATTCTGTATCAAACAATTGCCATGCCATTCTTTTTCATACAATAGGGGTTTCATCCTTTCTTGGTTCTCTGTGCTACTGACCTCTTCCAGTCACTTCCTGTCTACATGAATTCACCGTCACTGGCTGGAGTACAGATTTAGCTCTCAGAAATTCTGGTGATGTTGTGACCCGGCCATTGTAAGAAAATGGCATTCAATATGGATGGAAGGCACATCATCTTTAATACATCCTGGTAGCATCAGTATAGGGGCAATGTCAGGGGCCAGTAAGCATGCCAGGCAGCCATTTTAACAGCCCTTAGGCGTGTATTGGATTATTTCACGGTCTCTAAATTATATTGTTCTCACCTCAGGGGTGGGCAGCTGCGGCCCTCCAGCTGTTGTGGAACTATAAGTCTCATGTGGCATTGCAAGACTGAGACATGACCCCCAGGAGGCAGCAGCATGTTGGGATCTGTAGTTAAAGCACAGCTGGAGGGCCGGAGTTGCCCGCCCCTATTCTACCTCTTGCAACCACAAGATTCATACAAAAGTGACCAACTGCAAGCAGATTTCTGATTGGATGCCATAGTTTACCACATCAATTTCATACTTTGAAATAGGGATGCACCGATACCACTTTTTTTTTAAGACCGAGTACAAGTACCGATACTTTTGATCAAGTACTCACAGATACCAATTACCGATACTTTTTCTTAAAGGGACAGGTCACATTTCTTCTAAAGCAATACAAACTAATGCTTTAAAGGTCACTTTCTTAATATTATGATTCATGACGAGGGAGCATGACGCCAGCTTCCCGGCCAATCAGAATGCCGGGCGCTGCGTCATTACAGGCGCCCCGGCTTCCGGATTTGCTAGCTTCCTGACCAATCGGGAATAGCGTCATTTCACGCTACCCGACTTCCTGATTGGCCGGGAAGTCGGCTCCATGCTCTCTCATCACAAGTGACGAGAGAGCATGGAGCCGTTTCCTGGCCAATCAGGAAACCGGGCAGCGTGTAATGATGCGCTGCCCGGCTTCCTAATACAGGAAGTACTCGTGCTAGGTATCTGAGCATTTGGGCGAGTACTCACCCAAATACTCGGTATCGGCACCGATACTAGTATCGGTATCGGCGCATCCCTACTTTGAAATAACCTAAACTTAGTGTAAACTAAAAGGTTGTTATGTGAAGACTACAACACCCCACATCTTAAAAAACACAAAGTACACATGATTTCAGATGGAAGGATGTTTATTACCAACTTATACAGGATCACCTGATACTTTTAAAAAGGAGAACTCTAGTCAAGACAAGCAGCATCAGTAAAGCTATATACCAGGGGTAGCTAAACCTCAGTCCTCCTGCTGCAGTGGTGAAATTACAAAGACCATTAGGCTTTGTGAAACTCAAAGCCACAGGCATGGCTTACAGAGTCAGATGCTGGGATTTGTAGTTTCATCACACCTGGAGGGCTGAAGTTCAGCTGCCCCTGTTATATACCAAATAGGTTTTGTCCACTTGGCATCTCCTTATTGTAAACATAAAGCTCCAGAAACCACTGTGCTGATGCATCTCCAGCACGTCTGGTGTGTAGGACGGTTACAGTGACTCTGGGAGGATGGGTCTACATTTTGTTCAGCTCACAGGCAGGTCATAGATTTATAATAGACTGAACTCTGACGTCGATCATTTGCTTTTCTACTAAGCAGCATATTCAAAGGAGAAGTTATAGGTATGGAGTAATCACTAACGAGTTTTGTGTTACGTCTCGAGTTCACCTTTACGTGCTCAACGTTTCAATGCTAGTCCTTCATCAGCAGATACATTATAGTGGAGAGGCAAAGTATAGAAGCCGTTCTGTACAACTGTCCTGTGGGATCATGCCTCCAGATTGCCAATGAAAAGGGCGAAAAGCCTAAAGAGGACTCATCCCCGAATAGAAATGAGATGACCACTTCATAGGCAAATGGTGTCCCAGCTTGCCCCCCTTTTTGCTCCATGATTGACAATATCTAAATGGCTGCCTGATACAAACCAAAGAAAAAAAAAAAATCAATGTGTGCCCACTAAGAGTGAAGGCAACCATTGTTCCTGGTCATCAACTCAATAGCTTGATCACAGTCTTCACCATCAATGTTCATGGACAGTTGTTCTTGGTGAATTGATTGACTGGTTTGCCACCAGTATCTTCAGCTTTTAAAATGGCTGCCTTCATAAAAATAACACTCTTATGTGAAGGAGCACATAGCAAATATTTGGCACAGAAACCTATTCTGTGGGTGCAGCACTTAGTGGTTCTATGGAGTTATAATGCTCCCCCAGTCCGTAAGCATATCGCATATATCTGAAAGAGAAAGACAAATCTTGATGATCATCACATGCATAAATGTATATATGAATATATAATGTTGAATAGCTGCAAGATCCAAAATGGAAGCCTCACTAATCCACCAAAACTACTTGGGGGGATGAACTGAACAATCAGCAAGTATTTCAAATTTGTGTCTCTCTAATTAATTGTATGTATGTATGTATGTATGTATGTATGTATGTATGTATGTATGTATGTATGTATGTATGTATGTATGTATGCATGCATGCACACACCAGAGTCCAACGAATAGCTTCCCGGCCGGCCGTTGTAATTAAACGGCCGGCCAGGAGCTTTACATTCAAGCAATCGGCCGTCTTGTTTTAGCAGCAGCTACCGTGGCCAGTCCCGAGATCCGTGGTGCCAGGTGCGACCTAGGTGACATTAGGGGTCTTGGAGACCCCCGATGTCTCCATAAAGAGGACCTGTCATGTAAATTGGCTATCACATAGGGAGCTTCTTAGCCCCCCATGTAATAGCAATAAAGTTGTGTAAACAAAACAAGTCATACAAAAATTAAAAGCATTTTTTTTTTAAAAAACCCTTCTTTTTTTTTTTTTCTTAAGTCCCCCGCCCCCCACATACAAACATGAGTCAGGTACAAAAACGACGATTGCTCCTATTGTGCCGAACATGTTACATATCACTGCGGACAATAATTTTAGGGCCATTAATCACTGATAACACTAAACTGATGAGCAATAAAAGGGTTTAAAGCCTATGGCCAATTTTGGGTGTAGTCGTTTTTTGCGATTCTGCAAACACATAGTACTATGTGTCCCCAGTTATTTACAAACACTGGAGTGATCAGACGATCACTCCAGTGTTTGTCCTCACACGGAGGATCGGTAAATATCAATGATATTTACCGATCCCCCTCTCTGCCACGCACAGAGCCGCTGTCATCCTGAAACTGACAGGATGACAGCGGCTCTGATCTCCTCGCCGTTCGGCCATCCTGACAGCTGCGAGCGCGGCTTCTCTCCCCCTCACCGCTCCGCCATCCTGACAGAAGGCAGAGCTCCCTCCTGCGACCCCGGATGGATGGACGAGGGAGCGCTGTCATCATGTCGGTGAGGAGGAGAGAAGCCGTCCCGAGGAGTGCCTGACTCAATGGCTTCATTTCCACTCGCCCCCATGCAATTTTCACTCGCAAATTGCGAGGGGGCGAGTGGAAATTTTGAGCCCTGCATACATACATATATTTATAGCTCTATCTATATCTCACACAAAATTAGAGACTGTAATACCCAAATATAACCACAAGGTGGCAGCAGAGTATTGCCAGTAAACAGTATTTACATATCATTTATCAGAGTCTGTTATGTACCTTTGCTGTGCATGTCATTGGTGCTGTTGTATAATGTTTGACATTAAAAAGAAAAACATTTTTTCTTTTTTTCCTCCTTTAAGGTTATACGTTTTAACGTGGTTTTATATAAATTTTATGATTTATAGAAAATACTTACGTTACAAACAACCAATGCAGGTTTTTCACCATTGCATTGCGATAGGAACACGGTGGTGTGCGCTGGAAAACAGTATGGCATGCTGTACTTTTTTTTTAACGAAGCGGGATGCAATGCAGAACTACCACCTCACACCCCGCTGTGCTCATAAAACTGAATGAAATGTCACTTGTGAAATTTCAATAAAGTTGTACCAAAAAAGTACACAGTGCGATGTGCTAGGATCAACGCATCGGAACTGTGTCAGGCAACGCACACCAGGCGCTGTGTGTTTTACACAGCAGCTGGTGTGAATTGGTCCTTACTGAACTATTATATTGCCCAGTTTAAACGGAGATTAGCCCAGCGCTGTCACATGGAGTCAGTCACATGCACCTCTACATATGGAAGCGCTGGAAAACTGAACGGAAAAAGCACAGGTTTGTTGTGATGGCGGCTGTACGTCTGTCATACTCACTCTGTGTTTTCAATCATTTCTAAGTCACTGGCTGATAAAGAATATGCATCATGAAGTCAGAACACTTGATCTGCATATTGTTCTGGGTCATTAAAGTACTGAAGCCAATGGGATCAGCATGACAGCTAGGCAACTAGTATTTTCTAGGGATGCACCGAAAATGGCACTTTTGGCATAATGCCAAAAGTGGCATTTTCCTGTCAATACAGAGGCGCATCCATTATTTCTTTCCTCCCCGCTGGGCGCTGCTCTGTCCCCGGGCGGGGAGGAGAGAAACTGTGATAGTCGGCCGAGTGCAGCAGGAGGAGACCACTGTGAGCGACCGGCGTCTCCTCCCACACCGCTCGCTCAGCCTCCTGTGACAGTGTGTGTCAGAGAGGAGAGCAGGCTACAAACACTCAGTGATCAGTGATCGCTGAGTGTTTGTACATAATTGAGGACAGAGTATGGTTACTGTATCCTCAATTAGGAATGAATGGGAAGTGATCTACATCATCTCCTGTTCATTCATAGTTATAGTAAAAATACCATGTCCTCATGTTATGACTGAACAGGGACACTCAGTATAGGAGGATTCCTGTTCATTGAATTTATAAAAAAATAAAATTTTAAAAAATGTAAAAAAAATTAAAACAAAAAACATTTTCGGTTTCGGTCGGACAATTTTTTTTATTGCGGTTTCATTTTGGTTTTAAAATTTCCATTTCGGTGCACCTCTAGTATTTTCAGTAAGATATCATCAGTGGCAGTTTCCATTTTCTCTTGTGACAAGTTTCCTCTACTTTGTATTGCATGTAATGGTTCTGTATAAATTAGTGTCACATAACTGAAGAAGCCTCATGAGATACTGTATGGATTTGCTACAGTATAGTATGCAAGAGGAGAACTATGGTGTCAGTTTTATTCTTTAATTAAACTGAGGGTCTTAAAAGGCACAGTCCACCTTCTGCAAAAATGTAATAACTGCCTCATAATAAGCAGCAGCCTTGTGAGCCGGTCATGTGCACTTCTTTCATTGGCTGGCAGGCTTTCTATTAGGTCTAACAGATAGGCAACCCAAAAGCCATCTCAAGGAGTCCATGGTAGGATCTGGCTGCATGTCCAGGTAAGAAATTCTGAAACAGATGATTCACAAAAATGTGATTGCTGTATTCAGTAAGGCAGGATGTGACACATACTAAAAGTTTGATCTAGGGTTTACATACAGTTTAATAATACTCCAGCAGTCATTCAGCAAGGATACGCACTGCACTACCTGGGAGAAAGCCATTTAAAGCATATCCAAAATAAAAATATATTGCTTTAGTTTTCCTTTTTCAGGCTTTCTTCCCTTTTTCCACCTGGTAATCCTGGGAGTAACACACTTCATGTCCCTTGGTGGCATAGATACTTCTACAATGCATCTATGGAGGAAGCCATGGGTGCCAATTATGTGCCTCATACAACATGAAATGGGGGTGCGATCCAACCTCACATTCCAGAGTCACATCAACTACTCTGAAGAGTGCAGCTAGACCTAATCCCAGGGAGCACAGGGGAGGATTTAGGAGCTGTGAAAGGTATGTACAGGAACTGTATCATGGCTGCCGCTGGTATTAGTTAAAGAAGTATCAAACTCTAAGGCTGGGTTCACACCTAGGCGTATCGAATATGCGCGTTTGGTGCGCGTTTCGTGCCGCACGTTTTTACCGCGATTCAAGTGTTTCCGAGGGCTACCTGGCTGTATTCCTATGGATACGCGCGGCAAATACGCTCTACGCTCTGTAAAACGCCCAGGTGGGAACCATGCCCATAGGCAATCATTGGTTTTCACATGTTAAGCGTTTTACAGAGCGTAGGAACGCGCTGTAAAATGCCCAGGTGTGAACCAGGCCTAAATCTTTTTTGCAACAATGAATCCAGATCAAACAAACATTGCGCAGAAAATAATTTCTTTATATTTTCTGCCAAGCACATACAGACATCGAGGGGAATATATATTAAAACTGGAGCAGACAAAATCTGGAACAGCTGTGCATGGCAACCAATCAGCATCCACCCTTCATTTTCAAATCTTAACTGAATTGGTTGCCCTGGGCAACTGCTCCAGTTTTGATAAATTTCATACATTATGTTTCTAAACAACTGGAGCAAACACTCCCACCTCAGCTTCCCTGAACTTCCTGTCCATTACAAGATCACAAGGAATGGCATAGTCTGTAGCAGCTGTTCATCTACTAGCTTGGATAAGGAGAGGAGAGCATGGAGCAGGAAAGTGTCTTGCCCTGCTGTGCATGTGTGTTTGGGGAGACACACACCGCTTATCATCAGACACAAGGGAAAGGAGCTACTCTTAAAAAGGATAATCAGGGCCAGTGCTCAGGGGACCAGCTGATTCTGCAGGGAACTAAACCTTTTAAACATCAATGATTTGAAGTGAATTAATAAGCATTTAAAATAACTGAAAAACATTTTTACTTTATTATCACTATAACTTTGTATAGGACAGATTCACTTTAAAGCTAGACCTTCTGCAATGAGTACAGGAGGGATTTATAGCACTGATTCAAGGCTAGATATAAAATTGGCTGTCAGGATACTTACAGTACAGTGACTGGCTTGTCCCCGTACTCCTCCCCAATAACAACAGGAGCGGAGTCTGCCTGGATGACTTCTATAGGGGTCTTCAGGATGTGAGACAAAGCCCGGAGCTTTAAACAGAAAACATGTTGCAAAATAAGATCGAGAGAGAGATCGAGAGATCGAGATCGAGAGAGAGATCGAGAGAGAGAGGAATAAAAAGAAAAGGAAAAGGAAAAAGGGAGGGTGGAGGTTCAGGAGAGAAAGATAAAAAAGATCGAGAGAGAGATCGAGAGAGAGATCGAGAGAGAGAGAGGCATATTTTTTTTTAGAGAGGAATAAAAAGAAAAGGAAAAAGGGAGGGTGGAGGTTCAGGAGAGAAAGATAAAAAAGAGCAGAAAGGTGGCTCCTCTCCACCCACACACCCATTACATTTTAAATATATCCCATCCTCTATGCCAAATTTGAAGGATCACCGTCTACTGGACTTTACATTTCGTCCATTAGGATAATAAATTTGAGTATCCTAATGGACAAAAGATACACAAATTATGTAGTCTTCAAATGTATACCAACCAAAATGTTACTGTTTCACATGGACTTCAGGGTGCATAAGAGCAATGTGAACGCATTTTTTGCCCTCTTTGAGCAATTTTCGGAAGCTTTTAAAGTACACCTCAGGCTCCAGTTAAACACGGATCTTAAAAAGGGACACAAAACTCAGGAGTTAATCTGAAAAATGCATTCAAATACCCAAACTATTAACAAAAATCTTCTTTGTGTATCACTCGGCTGTAGATCCTCAAATCATGAAATGGTGCCGACACTGTCCTTCCTTCTGAAGGGTGGCTACTTGTGTTCCTCATGGTCCCTGTGTGTGTTGTAAAGTAGTCACTGCTCCAAGCTCACTCCCGGGATGGACTACAATCTCAATACAAATTAGTAAAAACTCCCAAGAGATTTATGGTAGGAGTACCGGACTCCCCAAACTTCCCCCCCCTCCCTCTCTTTTCCTCTTTTTTTCTTTCTTTATTTTTTTTTTTTTTCCATTGCCATATTAATTAAGGCCACAGGGCAGTTGTTGGACAAGAGGAGAGTGTGGCTGAGTTAAATGTATTGTCTTTATTAGTGTCTAAATAAAAAAAAAAAAAAAAGGTACTTGAAATGTATTTTTAAGATTTAACTCCTGAGTTTAGTGTCACTTTAATGGAAGTGCTGACTAAATTTTAAAGAAGCGCTAGCAGCAGATTTTCAATAACTTCAAGTTGCTGGAACGTATTGAAGCCTAAAGCCTAAGCTTGAAGTGATAGTCAGCACTACCATTAAGATCCGGGTTTAACATTAAAAACTGGAGCTGGAGGGCGTTTTAAAAGCTTCACAAAGCTTGCTGAAAGCTCTGTGAATGCTCTGTAAAAGCTTGCTGTTCACACTGTTCTCATACAAGCTAAAGCCTATGTGAACTAGGCCTAAAAGTGAGAAGGTTACTTGATAAGGCAGACTGCGCTTTCTTCCTGTAACCTACTAGAGCTCTTAGAAAAATCATTATACAGTAAACTCTGTTATCCGGTATTCAGTTAACCAGAAAAAAAAACAAAAAAAAATCTGCTTAGTACTCACTGTTCTGCGGTGTGTATTATCCAGGAAACAATCGTGTTTTGGTCTTAATTTGCTTTTGATTACTGCATTTAAGTTTTTGACATTATGATATAGTATAGTATGGCATTAGTTAGACCGATTTTTAATAGTAACTCTCAAGCAACCAGAAACTACATTTATCCGGAATCTACCAGTGCCCGTGGATGCTGGATTGTGGGGAGTTTATTGTATATGTTTTTGGTTCGCCTGAGTCGGTGCTCAGCCAACACAGGACAGCCAACCTCAAATGACACCATGACATGGGTTCAGACACCCAGTGGTGTATCATATGGGAGAAAAGAATCAGTGATATGTTCAAAGACCAAGAGCTGACCGATCACATGGCCACTGATATGTTGGCTTTTGGTCTCCGCTTCCAGAGGGACATCCTCTGGAAAAAATAACCCAAACCCCCCCCGCTCTCTCTTCTGCTCCAGCGCTGACTGGCACAGAAGACAGGGGAGGTGGTGAAGTGTGCACATTGAGAGGCAGAGCCGGTTGTCACAGACAGGTGGGGTGTATCCCAACAATACCGTTAAGATCCTCCCTGGCTGCAGCTCGCGCTGAAGTTGCTAGAGGGCCAGACCATTATAAATAGGGAAGCAGGTTGTTTACCACGACAGTAGAAGTGATTTGTTTCTGGGTAAGATATGGGTAAACAACGAGATTTAACAGCCTTTGAACGTGGGGTGATTGTTGGCACTCGGAGCCATCGAGCGAGTATCAGGAAAACGGCAGAATTTGTTAAATGTTCAAGAGCAGCTGTTGTTAAAGTGTTTAAAGACTGGACTGCCAGCTGAGAATCTGGGTCTGAACGTGCGAATTGTGGCCGTCAGCGACTAGTCAATGTTAGGGCAGAACGGAGAGTGGCAAGACTGGTACAAGACAACAGAAGGGCAACAGTGCAGTGTCAGATTCCTCGCATCACCTTTCAACATCACGTGGAGTCACGAGGCGGCCTACGAGGATGGGGTGGTCATAATAATCTGGTCACACAAGGACAAATGTGGGTCCTGAGGTTACACAGGTTGAGAACCACTGACTTAGTGTATAGTGCTGTGGTCTGAAAGTTTTAGGGTTGCACAACATTATACTAATAATATGTTACAAATGGGAATTTCTTATGAAGGACAAGGCGGCTGATTCTTACCTCCAACTGTCCACCCCATGCTGGTGTGTTTGCAATCTCACTGCAGTACTTCTCAAACTCATCTGTGGAAGAAAACGTCACACAGTTATATACGAAACTGGCATTCAATCTGAGAGGATCATCTCAATGATCTTCAATGTCTTTTTTTTAATATTATAAATGTTATAATAAAAAAAAAAGACATTGAATAATGAAATTAAATGAATATTTAGATCATGTCATTGCTAACTAAGGCTTGTATCCCCCTAGTGGGTAAAATAGATGAGCACATGTCCAGACTCCAGAACACTGTATTGTATAGTGTGGCACAGCTATATCCAATTCTAGCTGTTTATCCCTAGATAAATCTGTGTCACCATAAGAATTCACCCAGATTCCACAGCACTTAACAAGAACAAAATCTTGACCCCTGTAGTTGGGCTACCCCCGCACTGCAAGGTTTAAAGGATAATTAAAGCCTCGGGTCTTTTTGCATACATCTACTGCTAGCCTGTGTCTTCCCTGCGCGCTCCCGTCCGAAAATGTGAAAATTCTCGGGCGGCCGCAAAGCATTTTGGGGCTGGCGCATGCGCAGATCACATTTTCGGCCGGGACGCGAGGAGAGACACAAGGTAAGTATATGGAAGCGTGCACCCGCATGCAGACACCGTGGGACAGGAAGTGCCAGCAAGGACAGAGGAGTCAGCGTTGGATCGGAGAGCCGCCGCAGCGCTGGAGGGACAGATGAAAAGGACGGGAAAGAAGATCGGATTAAGAGACAAAATTTAAGTGCTGACATTAACATTGGGGGGGAGGGAAAAACATTTTTGACTTCAATGTCATTTTATGTGCTCATTTTTTCCAGGGAGCTAAAATAAAAAAAAGTTATACTCACCCGAACCACAATCTCGGCTAGCTCCTAGTCTGGTCCCTGCAGCCTCTTTCCTCCTCTGCTCCAGTGTTAGAATGTCCCTCGGCATCCTACCGTTCTCTGCACTGTATAGGATGTAATGCCTCACAAGACCATAGACCGCTGGAGCGAAGAAGGAGACAGGCTGAAAGGACGGGTCTAGGAGCCAGCCAGGACTGCAGTTCAGGCGAGTATAACTTTCTTATTTTAGCTCCCTAGACAAAACATGTACTTAACCCTTGCAGTGCAGGGGTAGCCCGACTACAAGGTTTAAGATTTTATTTAGTTCTGCTATAAAGTGTATTTTCACTTTTGCAGCCAAATTGGGAGAACAACTACTTTATATGTTACATGATCCCATTCACATAGCAGATTCTCCTTTTATCTTTTTAGATGCTCTTTCCTGGGAAATCCTGTATATTATACAAATCCTGTAGAATAATAATGATAATAATAATAATAATGTTTTGAAAATTATTTTTCAGTACGCTGTGTGAATGGGAACACAACAAATATACAGCAGGGGTTTCTCAAATTTGGCTGCAAAAGTGGAAATACACTTTAAGAGAATTAAAAACCACCAAAAGCATGAACTTCAATCACATAGGCCGGATAAGTCTGCCATAAGAACCAAGCTGAACCTCTCCAGGGCCAGCAGTAAAAATGTTCTATAACTTACTGAGGGCAATCTAAATTAATTAAACATGAATCCAGTTGTAGTGCAGAAAATACAATGTCAGGTGGGTGTGCCCTCTACTGGCCATCAAACGGTAGTACAACAACCTTTACAGTGGATCTATACCAGGGCTAGGCAACTTCAGCCCCAGCTGTGGTGAAACTACAAATCCCATGCTATTTCTGCCTCTAGGAGTCATGCCTGTGGCTGTTAGTCTTGCAATACCTCATGGGACTTGTAGTTCCACAGCAACTGGAGTGCCAAGGTTGCCTACTCCGGGTCTATACTCAAATGTTAAAGTGAAACTAGATAAATAGTATAGATAAAGAAAGAGTAATAGAAGGGTTGAAATATCCACCTTTCTTAGAGAAAATGCTGCCCTGGGTTCCCTTCAGCCTGCTCAATTAACTCAATGTCCAGGCATTCGGGTGCAAGACCTCTGCTGAAGAGAAGGATCAGAACTCATACTGGAAGATTCTGCTCTTCAGCACCAGCATGTGGCCAAATAGTAAAAAACAAAGCCTGGAGCTGGCCGTAAAAGTGACCCTCCTCGCATAGGGAGTGTAAAACAAAACTTGCACAAAAAAATAAGAGAGACCACATATACATACTATCTGGCAGCCTGGTTCTTGAAAAGTCTCTGATTCACTGCTCAAAGTCCTCTGCAAGTATTCATCCACTTCTGGGTATGTGAATAACCTGCAGCTCCAGCTCACTGTGGTTCCTCCCATTGTACAGCATGTACAAGCCAGCGGGATCAACCATAGCAAGCAGTGGGGATGGACTACAATCTAAATACAAATTAGTAAACTTATTTGTGTATCAATGGTCTGTAGATCCTCAAACGATCTCTGAATTGGTGCCGACACTGTCCTTCCTTCTGGAGGGTGGCTACTTTTGATCCCCATGGTCCCTGTGCGTGTTGTGAACTAGCCACCACTCCCAGCTCACTCCCGGGATGGACTTCAATCTCACATTTGGTTTACTAATTTGTACTTGAGATTGTAGTCCATCCCGGGAGTGAGCTTGGAGTGGTGGCTACTTTACAACACACACAGGGACCATGGGGAACAAAAGTAGCCCCCCTCCAGAAGGAAGGACAGTGTCAGCACCAATTCAGAGATCATTTGAGGATCTACAGCCGAGTGATACACAAATAAGATGCATTTTTGTTAATATTTAAAAAGGTACTTGAATATATTTTTTAAGTTTTAACTCCTGAGTTTAGTGTCACTTTAACAAAAAAAAAAACTAATGCAGCCATCACATCTAAGGTCTGGGAAACTGCAACATATTATATTTTTGTTCTATTTAGATATACATTTACAGAGAGCTTTCCAATGCTCAGGGTCCAAAACTGCATAGAGGTGTATGACCAATCACAGAAGTATTACCCTCACAATAACCTAAATAGATGTTGCAGCAATGGCTCCCATGGCCCCTGCAGGGGTTTAGTGTCTTACAGCTGGAATTCCCTGCTCAGGACATCTCTCAAGTCTTTTCAAATGAGCACCCGGTACACACTAGCCACCATCATTTGTGTGCACAATAGTAATAGGGCACGGCTACATTTTGACTCAAGATATATCTCACCCTGGGTGTACATTTCCCCCGTGGTAGAATTGGTTAGGAATGGCAGGAAATCATCTGCATGGCTCTGCATGTAGTCTGCAGTTTGGTGCCTGAGACTGGAAAGAGTCAGGTTTGCACCCTGCTCCTTCAGCTGATGTTCAATAGCTCTGTACATGCAGTGACCATCTGACGGGATGTGTTTGATCTGCAGTTGTCTCTCCGACAGGATATGGGCAAGTTTCTGACTTTCCAGGTGCCGAGCTCCAGACAGGTTCTCAACTTCAGCTTCTGCTATGCGCTCATCTCTCTCTTTCTCCAAGGCTGCCTTCTTCTCCTGCAAAGGACGAGAAAGCCTGGTAAGATGAAGTGCATGAAACAGTAATGTTTCCACGTCACTGAAGCCTGCTATGGACGCTACATTTGATCACATCCATGTATACATTGCTGCTTAAAGTGATATTAAAGGCAAAATTTTCATTTTAATGCTGATGAAATCACTTACAATAGATGCTGCTGGCCATCAAATGGTAGTACAACTTTTACAGTGGATCTCTACCAGGGCTAGGCAGCTTCAGCACCAGCTGTGGTGAAACCACAAATCCCACAATATTTCTGCATCTGGGAGTCATGCCTGTGGCTCTTAAGGCTGTGACACACTGCACGTGAAGCAGCGCGAGCAGTGTGTCATGTAATGTTCTCCTCGGCACGTCAGCTAGCGAGGGCTTGCGCCGCTGAGCGTGCCGAGATGAAAAAATTCATCTTCAGCCAATCGGCTCACGCGTATAAACCCGCGCGTCAGCATGCGACGTCTGGCTGGTTGTTACGCACAAGCCGATTGGCTGAACGTGCAGTCAATCTGACTGCACTCAGCTCACGCACTGCACGCAAAACTCCGTGGCGGACAGCTTTGCTCTGCACGGCTTTGCATGTAGTGTGTCACGTGCTTTAGTCTTGCAATACCTCATGGGACTTTTAGTTCCACAACAGTAGGAGTGCCAAGGTTGCCTACACCTGGTCTATACTTTTTGCACCTTCCGTTCCTGCGATCTGTTTTTTAACGGATGCTTACACAAGGGCACCAAAAATGAATGGGTGTGAATGGGGCTAGTTCACACTGCTACATTGCGTTATGTTGCAGTGAGAAAGAAGTAGAGCATGTTCTAGCTTCTGCAGCCGACAGGTGAATGTAAGCAGCCGGGAGCAATAGCCAAACTGCTATTGAATATTTCAAATTGCAAAAGGCAGGTTGGCTACTCAAGCCCCGTCCACTGAGCAGAGGAATGGCCCTGAGAGAGAAAGTTATTTCTCTGGTCCGCTCAGTGGGCAGAAACAAAAGCCAGCCTGCTATTGGCTATTGCAATTTGCAATAGCAGGGTGGCTATTGAAACCCCACCCACTGAGCTGAGGAGCGAATCTGAGAGGGAAAGTTCTCTCTTAGGTCCGCTCCTCTGCTTGGTGGGCAGGGTTTCAATAGCCAGCCTGCTATTGCAAATTGCATATTGCAATAGCCAAAAGCAGGCTGGCTATTGAAACCCCCCCCTACTGAGCAGAGGAGAAAACCTGAAAGAGAAAGTTCTTTCTCAGGTCAACTCCTTTGCTCAGAGGGCGGGGCTTCAATAGCCAGCCTCCTATTGCAATTTGAAATAGCCAATAGCAGGCTCGCTATTTCTCCCCATTGTTTACATTCTGCTGCCGACTGCTGAATTTAGCCCCGGATGGCAGCAAGATGTAATCAAAGAATTTAGTTAGCAATTAAATAAATGTAGTTGCTAAAGCAGCCCTTCATCGTAGAGTGATTCAGAGAGAAAATTATAAATGTGCTCTTACCCGCCTCTTTTGTGCTTTAGACATTCGAGATTGCTGAGCAGGCACTTCACCTCCAAGCTCTAAACCCGTGACCCCATTAGTGACACTGTTTATCTAAAAGTGAATAGAACATTAGCAGTTAATATGAAGACAAAACAAAGCAAAGATTCACAAACTTACTTGTTATAATTCATCCAATGGGTAACAAGAGGAAGGGATCTAAGGGGTTCCTAAAGCTTGTTGAGGAAGGGCTCTAAAGGGTCCCGAAAGCTTTCGGAGAAAGGGATTTAAGGAGTCCTGAAAACTTTCTGATGAAGGGATTTAAGGGGTCCCAATAGCTTGCTAAGGAATGGCTCTAGAGAGTCCTAAAAGTTTGCTGAGGAAGGTATTTAAGGATCTCAAAAGCTTGCGGAGGACGTGATTTAAGGGGTCTCAAAAGCTTGCTGAGGAAGGGATTTAAGGGGTCACACAAGCTTGCTGAGGAAGGGATTTAAGGGGTCACACAAGCTTGCTGAGGACGGGATTTAAGGGGTCTCAAAAGTTTGCTGAGCAAGAGATCTAAGGGGCCCTGGAAGCTTTCAGAGAAAGGGATTTAGGGAGTCCTGAAGGCTTGCTGATGAAGGGATCTAAGGTGTCCTGAAAGCTTGCTGATGAAGGGATCTAAGGTGTCCTGAAAGCTTGCTGATGAAGGGATCTAAGGTGTCCTGAAAGCTTGCTGAGGAAGGGATCTAAGGGGTCCTAAAAGCTTGCTGAGGAAGGGATTTAAGAGGGTCTCCAAAGCTTACTGGGAAAGGCT